CACTTCCCGCTACAGTTGACTGTATTTTATTGACAAAAAGTTACTTCCTCAGAGGTTTCTGCCGCCCCCTGGTGTCAGCTCTGGTCTTTACCTTTGGATCAGCCTCATAGTAGAACTGCTGTGTTCTGATCCATCTGCCCACCAGGTGGTCTCTGACCGTGTGGGCCAGAGCGAAGTAATAATCCCTGGGAGTCGCTATGTTCCTGTCTTTGACCAGGGTGAAGTGCAGGTGTCGGTTGAAGCCTTTCTTCAGCTCCGTCACATTCTCCAACTCAACAATCCCTCTGATGCTGATCTGTTTGCGCTTCTCCTGGTCAGTGAGCGGGGTCGCCATGTTGAAGGAGAACCTGTCACGGTCTGTGGACGGTGAGTGGTGCTGGTGCTGGTGCTGGTGCTGGTGCTACAGAGGAGAGTGAAGTAAGGTGAAAAGGAACCGTCCAGTGGTGGTGCACAAGTCTCCACCTCCAGCTGCAGGCCATTGGTGAACAGCAGAGGGAGGCGTCCACCTGTTCTGCCCCCTGCTGGACGTAAGGACACGGCCAACAACGGACACTCAAGTCTTAATCCCTTAGTTAGATATATTATTGTAATTTAAAATGCTAGCTTTATGAATATGTTCGATTTGAGGTTATTCGAAGGATAATTGAAACAATCGTTAATTTAAACACACGCACATAAACACACACTGTATAAATATGACTTTTGAATCGTTTTTAATTATTACTCTTTGAAATTGTGCTGCTATTTCAAATGTATAAACCGTGTGACATTGATTTCAAAATGCTGTATATTTAACTCAATAATCTTTGTATTTGTACTTTGTATTCATTGGGTTTTTTGTTAGCATAGTTGTTAAATTATTTGTAATACCTAATTTGACGGAAACTACTGCAGATTGTAAAATCACCTAATAAGTAAAACAGCACCACCTGATGGCTGTAGTGTGTCACTTCAGCCATTTGACTTATTCTCATTAACTTCTGTCATTTACACCCATAGATTAAACACAAAACAGAAATAAAAACAAAACAAAAACAAAGAAGGGGCAACGTTAACTTTTTTGACACCGACTTTATTGAATATTTACACGTACAGAAAACACATTTAGCCCCATGTTTATACTTAACTCATGGTAATAGCAATAATATGCTCATGACAGACAAATATAATTATAACAATCATTATAATCATCGTAGTGTCTTAAAATTATAGTGCTAACAATGTTCATTTTATATTCATAAAATTCTCCACACATGTATTACAGTATCGGAAAATGGAGTGACGACATTCCACCAGGCATCAAATAGAGAAATGAAAAGAAAAAGGAGAAAATACAGGTCTGCCACCCTGAGCAACACACACACACACACACACGTACATTTGCAAACATAACATTAGTGTCGCCCAGCGACTGAGTTTTAGTTTTTAACCGTCAATAAAAGCATGAGGAGGGAAAATAGACTTTAAATTAACCCTGGGTCTGTATATACACATTACAACCAATGTTGCTGCTTTTATGAAGCATGGAAATTAAAACTTTTATAGCAAGACATTTACGTTTTTATTTTGCTTAGTTTAACCGTCCCAGTAATAGGCAACAATATCAAGAACAGTGAATTAATGAAGTTTTGTGGCCCACATTCAGTGTTGACGCTTTGGACGTGCGCTGAGATGGCGTTCCTTTAGGTTAAAGGTCGTTCTGGCCACAGGAGACGTCCACCTGCTCTAGTGTTTGTGTAGCATTTGGTTGGATGCACATGTGCACTCGTCCTCCCCTGGACACTAACAATGTCACCTGAATGGACACTGAACTCCTCTAGGTTATTTGGTGCATCTATATGAATAATAAGCCATGAGAGGTCAACATTTGTGACTCACATCCAGAATGTGGGCTACATTTCAGCCATTCCTAAACTAAAGATGACCAATCTCTGGCCCTAATGTCAAATACGGGCCACTAAGTGCTAACAGAAATGTGCTACTACACTGAGCCACTGCCAAATATGCTAATAAAAAAAGACAAGAAATGTTGTTTGTATCCCATAACAGTAACCATTTTCATATCTTAACACAACAAATAGTTTGCACAGTGAAAGCTCAGGTTCAACATGTTCACACAGTTGCAGCAGTAAGCTGTGTTTGACTCATAACTGTACACAAACACACATGCACACATTCGCAGGTTTACAGTGTGCAGGCGTTTCAGATTTCAGGTCAAGTCAGATCTGGATATTCGGTGTAAACATGTCGGGGACGGAGAAATGTAACATAAGAGGGTTTTTTTTTTTTTTTTAACTCGCATCGGGTTCAAATAAAACATCACCGATGTCCAGGTTGAATCGCGTTGAATCTACTGCCAAAGTCCAAACTGTTGTGGGTTTGAGGAGCAGGAGGGGGGCAAGGCACGGTCATGAAGCTGGAACACATGATAGCACCTTATTCAAACGCAGGTGTACAGTGTGTGTTTGTGGGCTGCACTGCTAACAGAGTTACACAACATTTGCCTCACACTGCATCAGAGTCAATTGAACTTATATAGTTATATAGTTAAGGACACAGTAAGTCAGGTTGTGTATGCCAGCTGCTGGGACATCATAGTCCAACAAACCACTGTGTAAGGTGTGTGGACACATTACATTGACTCTCTGTTTGTCCACCATCAAATTAATGGATTCAACCAAGCTACAACTGGTGGTTTTAAAATCATCAGAATTAATTTTCTCAGTTGTTTCACTTCCCAATGTCACCCCCAGGGTCAAAGGTGACCGTCTCTTTGTTCAAGCAAAACCTTTGCTTAGACACATATACATAACATTCCATCTAGTGCCACCTGGAGATATTTAGTTCTACTGATGCGTTCAATTTCTGTGACGATGTAGCTTTCGTTGCTACCAGATGAGGGCGCTGTTGTAAATGTAGCTGCACAGTATAAATTCAAAAGAATAATCCAAGGCTTTTTCGACATTCTTGTTGTTTAAGGAGATAAACTTTTTTTTTTTTTTACATAAAACTGTAATACCTGCAGTTTCTCAAAAGCAAAACAAAGCAAAAGGACAAAAAGACTCTCCATGTGGGACTGTTAGACATGAAATGAAAGAACAGTGACCACTCCTCATTGAAAAACTCTGAACATCAATAATTTATGCATCTATACAAGTCTTTGCAATATATCATTTCAATAACAACATTATAAAACTACCAGAATTCAGTCACCTACCGTAGAAAAACGCTGGAACTAAACAAGCAGCTCACCTTTAGCTCACGATGATGCACAAAAACCTGCTCTTTTGACATAATAATCTAGACATCCTTCATGCATTCGATACTTCCAGTATCGATGTACAGTCCAACACCGTTTTTGTCATCTTACAGACAGATAGAAAAGATTCACATAAGAATAAACCACTAAGAGAAGCCTCTCATTTACACAAACCATGGTACGACAGCAGTGAGGCTGAACATCGGTCTATTGCTATTTCACCAGGTTTCACCAAATGTTTCTGTTCTATAAAATTTAATTTTTCTCCACGTGAAGCTGTGCAGGGTAATAAAATCCCCCAAACATACCATCAATCTTTTAGCAGCTCTCTGTTTGGAACCAGAATCAACCTAAAATCTGTAATATACCATTTGGTCAAAACTAATAAAAAAGCCTGAACTCTCTTTGGACATATGATAGTGACAGACCCTTCAAACTCCGTCAGTGGTTTGGGGCTCATGGTGTCTGCAAAAGATTTTCATTATAAATATGGTATTTTTGTGCTTATTAAAATGACCGTTAAAAGGAAAGTATATATTCACACGTCTATGTTAAATTATGATGTGGCTCATGTCACAACCAAAACAACCCACTTCTAATGAAAGAATTACTTTTGTAATGTACAATATACATGGACGGCACTGCTAATACATGTGAAGACGGCAGGCAGTGCGTTAGCTTAATGTAGCACACATTCGCTAAAAACAAATAAAAATAAATACAAAGCATTGCTTTGACTGAGTGAACTGGTAAAAACAGATCCACACAAAACAGTTGTCTTTTAGATTTGTATGTAAAGGTACGTTGACCAGAATTAGCCTAGCTTTACATTAGGTTGCATGCTACGCTAAGGTAAAAGCTGCAGTGCACAACATTTAAATGTAAATAAAAATTCACTGTTTTTATGTGTATTCAGCTGAATTGTGATATTCTTTGATGCACCTGTGGTCACATGGTGTATAGAGTTTTCTTTAAATTACCCAGTCAAGACTGACACAAGTTAAGAAGAAGCACAATAGCAACAATGTGCTAACAGACAGCATTGATGCTAACAGATTTAAAATACAATGGCACTTCT